TTGCCATATAGTTACTAAGTTAGGTTGAGAGCAATCGTTCAAGAACTTTTGAAAGAAAAGGCCAAATGACAATCGGTCTAAAGTCATTATTTGACTTCGGTATTGGAATTATTTTGGCTGCTTTCCAGGCCTTAAGAAATGACGAGCTCATTATTGCACTATTAAATACATGTGTTATATATAGTATTATCTTTGGTAGCAGTGTTTTATAAAATTTGGGATTTTTATCATCTGGTCCTGTTGCACTAGATTTAATTTTAAGACTCGACTTTACAACATCACATTGGGACACACATTCAAAGCTAAATCTATTATCACAGTCAATTTATACGCTATTTATTACAGTAGGTAAGGTAGATTGCACAAATTTTCTGTTCAAATCATCAAGGTCGATATCTACCTGTGGTGATTTCGGCATCTGTTTGCCGATACCGAGTGACTTTAGTTCCTGCCATTTTTGGCTAGTTGAAATGATTTCATGAAATTTGGTCGTGTAATAGTTAGTTTTAGCTTTCTTAATGCTATTCTGCACTTTGTGTCTCGCTTCTTTAAACATGGCGTAGTGATGGCTTGTCTTGTATCGTTTCCATCGCTCATAAGCTAAATTTAAAGCATTTATTAGCAATTTTATATTGTCAGTGTCAGTACTTTGTAAGAGTACTTTGTGAGTTGGGTAGTCAGAGTTTGCAGCATGCAGACCTATCGCTTCCAAATTGTTTTTTATCTGGTGCTCTTTCAGCATTTGACTATTTAGGTCACCGATGATTACTACATTGTCATACCCTAATGATATTGTGTCCAGTATTGAGATGGCTTCCGAAAAGTCTGTTGTGCGATTTGGTCTGTAAATGCAGCCAATAAGTAACCTGGACGCTTGTCTGGATCCTTTTATTTCGAGAAAGATATACTCATTTATACTTTCCTTGGTGTGCTTACCTATTACATTAGATGCCAGGTTGGACTTAACATAGATTGCAACACCCCCAGCATGTCCCTCACGGTCCGAACGAAAAACATTGTATCCGTCAGACGTAGTCATAACATCACAGATATTGGATGTAAGCCACGTTTCAGACACACAGATGACATCAACATTTCAGTTAGTAAAAAGGTACCTGAATTCATCCATCTTCTTCCATCTGATGAGATTGAGATGCATACATGGACAAAAGCTCTCTCATGCTACTAATGCGAACGTAGTTATCGCTCCCAGCCTCTCTCACATGAACAGCGGAGCGGCGCTTAAATACTGCGGTGAGCTTTTTCCCTTTCATAGCTTCTTTGAAAATTTCATATTGAGCTTTTGTAAGTTGCTCGTTAACATAGAATGCCACGTGTGAGTTGAAACCCAGCAGCTGTAAGCTCAGCGGCTGGTTTTCTGTTCTCCGATATGCCCCAATTTCTCGAAGCAATGCAATTTTGTCGCGTGTATGATCCATTTTAACTATAATTGTGGGATCAACAATAGTGCCGTTCGATGCCCTCTGTTGTCTTATTCGGAAAATATCCCTAATTTTTGGCGGAGGCGTAAGATTAAGTGAAAAACAAAGTGTATGAAAGATAGTTTTTAAGTTTTCGCCGTCAACAAACGGGACTCTGTGCACTCGGACGTCAGCTGCGACCCCATCCATTGCCTGCACCTCCAGCTTCTGCTCAAAACGAGCTTCCAGTGCCGATATTTTAGCCTTTAGTGTGCCATTCTCGGATGACTCCGTCTCCAACTGCTCCACACGCTTGGCCAGGCGCTGGAGCTCCTCGTTAAGTTTGGAGACGTGATCTTGGAGCTCACCCAGAATCCGCTGTTCGGTCTCCCGTATGAGTTGTGCCTGATCCCCAAACTTTTCGGAGATAATCTCCAAAAGTCGGGGTGAAGGTGCATCTGTGCTGCATCGCTGCACATCGGCAGCAGCGCTGTCCCTTAGGCGTTTTTGTGGTTGCGCCATCGTTGTTTGGAGTGTGTTTTGAGTGTTTATTTACTTTTTTTCTTTTCTCTGGTTGTCCGTAATGAGTGCTTTCTGTATTACTTGTGCGTATCAGTGTAACTTGGAGTGTTTGTATATTAGCGTCTAGTTTGAATGTATTTGGCGGCGTCTAACGCGAATTAAATTTGCTGTTTAAGGTTGCTGCCGTGTTTATTTTTGTTTGAATATTCGTGTACCTACATATGTTTAAAAGCGCGTTTTGCTCTTTTTGAGTCGTTCGGCTTTTATAATTTCACCCATCAGACATGTGAGATCTCAAAACAAATCTAAAAATAGTTATTCCATATGTTGTGTTATGCTTATGAGATGATCCTTAAAATGTAGGACGAATATAATACAAATTTTCGAATAAGCAATTTTTTGAGTGTAGTGTAGTGAAAACGAGAAGGAACGTATGAGTCGTTTCTGGGGCCGCGACTCTACTTATACCCGTACTCAGTCGGCATATACATTTTTGAGCATATGATTTTTTTGAATTTTAGAATACATTTTACATTTACATTTTTTTGCTACATCTACATATACTATGTATATTCTACATCTAACATGTATATTCTACATGTACCATTCATATTCTACATCTCCTCCGCTAGGGGTTGCTCGCGCACTGAACGCGGCAGAGTGTGCGAGCGAGAAGGAAAATGAGTTGCGTTGTTGTGGGCAGGAGGGGGCAGGGGAAGCAGCAGAAAATTAATTTCTTCATTCTGGCTATAATTATGATCCGATCTGATTCAGATGCGGCAGTCTGGTAGATATGGGCATTCTCTAAGATACTTCGTTTTTAGTTTTATCGTATCTTTAAAATTGTGGCTGCCACAGATTTTCGTCCTTTTTGGGGGCGGAAGGGGGCGGGGCGAAATTTTGAAATACACTTGTAGCAGTGTGATATCACATGAGTCTGGAAACCAAATTTGGTTACCCTAACTCTTGTAGTATCTGAGATCCAGACGCTCAACGAGACGGACAGACAGACAGACATGGCTATATCGACTCGGCTATTGATGCTAATCAAGAATACATATACTTTAAGGGGTCGGAAACGTTTCCTTCTCTGCGTCACACACATCCACTTTTACCACAACCACCCCACCCCTTAACTCTTTTTTGAGTACGGGTATAAAAATCAAAGTTTAGCATTTTATGCACAGCAACCAGGCAAATATGCACCGGTATCAAAGTTAAACTTTAACTATTTATTGTAAAGCTTATGAACATTGTAGCCCCATGTAATCGTGCAGACTACATTTTGAAAAATGTTTCTATCAAAGGCAGGTAAATTTATGAAGATATCCTGATTCGCTCAGAAGCTATTAATGTAGAAAAGAGAAATGTCCGATTTGTTCCACTGTGCGTCGTTTGGTATTGTCAGCTATGCTCTCACTTCCGAATCCGATCAAACACACCCTGCAGTCGTTTAATTTTGGCATACGCAGTTCGTCGTATAAATCTTCGCGTGAAATGTTAAATTTACTACCAGTGTCAAATAATGCCATACTCTTCGTATTTTTAATAGAAACTTCTTTAGACGTTAGTTCCGTTTTATTTGAAACTACGAGTAAGCTTGGTTTTTAATCGCTTCTCATTATTTTTCTTGCAAAACAGCTAAATACGCTTTCACACAGATGTATGTAAATTAATATTTAATGAGCATGTACAAAAAAATCTCATGCAAATGCAGGGATATTTTTTTGTAAAGTCAAGTTAAAGTTGAAAAACAATCCAAAAATGAGGTCAATATTCTATAATTCCATATATTTCATCTATTAGACATGGAAATTAGAATCGGCAATTATTCATACTACAGAAATGTTAATGTTATTAGACAATCCTTCCAATGTGGAAGAATAACAAAAAAATGTTGAATAAGTTTTAGAAAAAAACCAAAAATTTTTTGGTATATTTTTAAAAATGATGTTAGATTAAAATAACATTTTTAATTATTATGTGTAGCGAATGACCATTAATCTTTCTTTATCGATCCAACAAACCAAAATTTAGCATTTTATGCACCGCAAACAGGCAAATATGCATTTTAACTATTTTGACTATTTATTTTAAAGCTTTTAGACAATGTAGCCCCATGTTCTCATGCATACTAAATTTTGAAAGATGTTTCTTTCAAATGCAGCTTATGTCATGAAGATATCTTGTTCAGAAGTTATTAAGTTTCCAAGCTGAAATGGCCGAAGGCCCCACTGTACGTCGGAGGCTGGAATAAAAATCTCGGCAATCGGCTTTGCATACTCGTCTGAATTTTTTTATCAAATGAAATATCGCAAAAACCATTCGGGAATGAAACAATAAAGATAGCAAAAAGTTTCGAATACCAGATCACTCGTATTTCAATTCGAACGAATTTTTCAAAAATCATTTACAAGAAACGGAGCAAGGCTTTATATATACTTTACGCTGGCGGAAGCGCTTCCTTCTTGGCGTTACAAGGTACTAAACATCTAAAAAGACTAAAAAAAAAAAAACGTAATCCACCTCGCAAGGAAGCTCTATTGCTCTTGCAGGAAGCTTTATGATCAGGGAACTTGTAGTTAGATACACCACAAATTAGTTTTACAAAAAACTTGCGGCCCGATTCACTTGAAAAAATCGGCCACAAAAAAAGCAGAAGCAACTGTTCTTATTCAAGCGAGTCAAAAAATTGCATTCATGTTTCAAAGAATTTCCCAATAAATCACAAAAATAATGGTAAACTGGTTTGTATTCATTTTTTTAAAAAGACCCCTATGAACTGTAATAAGTAATGGAAGAAACTAAAAACTAAAAAATCAGTGCTCTTTTCAAGTGAGCGGATAAGTAAGGTTCAAGTGTAAGTATGCAAAATCGGTTATGTTTCGATATACATGCACGCTTATATCAACTAAATTCAAAAAGGTTTCTTCAACACCATTAAACATTGGCTTATTTTTAAACACTCCCAGCCAGGTTTAATGGTATGCTAAATTTTTCGAAAATCTTCTATCTTAGCATTTTTATTTATGAAAAACACATAATGATTTTAAACAGAAAACTGGTCGTTGGAATGCTATGCATGTTCGAATTGCGTGGGAAATTTATTACCACCAAAACAAACAAAGTTCTGATAAGACAGGATGTCCTACAGGCGGAAATAATGCAATTGGGAATTTGAGCTCCACTAATGCGTCAATCACCGCAAGCAACCTGATAACTGGATCCGGTGGAAGTATCATTGTTAGCACTGCCAGCACAATCAATAATGTTGGTACTGCCTCGGCTATTGGAGGAGGTATCGTGAGTGCAATTGGGCCAACACCGTCAATTAGTATTAAATCATCGACAGCTATTGCAATGAACACAACACAACAGCATCTTCCTCAACGGACGAATGAACTTCCACCACCTGCAGCTTTTGCAAATGCATTACCAGGACGTTCTTCATTTGAAACGTCTCCTTTGGCGGCGAGTTTCATCGGGGCACCCCCTAGTCATATTGGTAAGCTGTAAAAATGTGATTCACTAAATTTAGTTATTAATTGACTACATTTTGACAGGAACGGCAGTTTCACCTTTTGGACGCTATGTAGCTCCATTTGGGTTTACGGGTCTGACCCATTTCGGCGGACATATAGACGCATGGAGGTAAGTGCAGCCATGCAATTATATCAATTTATAAATTATATGCATACTTAGGAATGCTATAAAATAGCTATATTAACTATTTAATATTTTATTGTGGCTAATTATCTTATGTTGTGGTACGAGGGCGGATCAATATGTCTGAGACCTTTTGGATTAAAAACAGGTTTTTTGATACACAATCAATTTATTTATCAACATTGGACAGGGCCAAACAATTTTTTTTTCGAAATTTAAACGGGACACCCCCTAGTTTTGTTGCCGTAGATTAAATAGTAATTACATCTTTTTATTTTTATTTTTTAGAGGTTGCTACCAAATTTAAAAAAAAATTGTAATTATTTAAAATTAAAAAAAAAATTGTTTGCTGAATAAGTTGGATAAATGGTGAAATCTATTGCATATATATTAATACCATTCATATCGTCTTTAATCAGTTATTGGCAGTAAAAGTTGCACAAGTTTTTGCGAACTAGTTATCTAAATATATCAACCTCAGCTGAACTTCTTGATTTTCACTAATCGTTCATATTTTAACAGTAACTTAAAAAAAAAAAATCAAAATAACTTATTATCAATATGTACTAGTTTCTAAGTTTCAATAGCATTTGAAAAAACCGACGAATTCAATTTTTGTAATTTAAATTTTAATGTTTTTTAATGTATATTTAACTAAAAAGTGTATTTTTTTTTCGTGGTGGCAACCCCTAAACATTAAACTAAAAACTTCAAAAAAATTCTATAATTTTATTGAATAACAAAGAACAGAACTGGGGGGTGTCCCCTTGAAAAGAAAAAAAATTTCTTGGTCAAATTTTGGCCCAGCCTAATCAACATGGTCTTATTTTATCTCTATACACTTTTTTCAGCATTTTCCCAATTTTTGTATCCCCTAAAAAAGGATTTGTCGAGGTCCTCAAAATAGGCTTTTTATGGGAGAAGACTTAATCATTGGACTCAAATCCCATTCCGTCAAGCCTTTTTTTCAGGTTTGGAAACAAGAAATAGTGACTAAGGACTAAATCCAGAGAAAAGCTTGGGTGCGTAGCCTAATTCATCGATTTTCGGGATGGAAACTGAAACTGTCTGCATCCTTGCATTGTCCTGGTGGAAAATAACTTATTTCTTGGCCAAATGCAGTCCTTTCTTTTTAAAATCATCATTAAATCGATACAATAAGATGGCATAATATTCGCAATTGTCTGTTTTACCCATTCTGAAGGTAATCTATGTGGTTAATACCGCCAGCATTCCAAAAAACCTTCGCCATGACTTTATTGGCTGAAAAATCCACATTGGCCTTCTTTTGCATGATCAAGAACATATAAACTTTATGGGGTCAGAAACATTTTCTTCTCTGCAATACACACATTCACTTTTACTACAAATCTAATATACCCCTTAACTCTTTGCGTACGGGCTTAAAAATAGTGTTCTGGAGAGTCCTTGAGCAAAGCAATCTTTGGACCGTAGGTCTTCGAGTCGAGTTCAATTCCGGAACCTTATGTGGACAAACTGGATCCGATACTCAGATCAAATGGGACATATCCTTTGAAAGTCCCTCCCTTCCGAAGAGATTTAATGGGATGTTACGGCTCGTCTTGTAAAACTATTTTCTTGCCGCTCACGTAAAACTAGAGTCGGAAGAAACCTAAATGGTGTACTCCAAGAGTAAAAGAACTTCGCATAACTCTTCGAAGGCTCTTCAACAGAGGCTCTTCAAATACCATTGAAATCGATGGAGCAGAGATCCCATAGTATGTATCAAGCTTTTCCTTGGTTTCCGTGGTTTTTCATTTTTTCTTCAAAGCACGAAGAAGCTAGCTATCAATGGCTGTAAAACACAAACAAAGTGGCGCAGCTTATTAAAATTTTAAATGAATCGGCTAATTAGATACCTTTTGACAGAAAAATTATTGCCATATCAATTAAGTGGCGAGAAATTCAAAAGGTCTCGGGCTTATTGATCCGCCCTCGTATTTATATGGTACTTGAATAAAAACACCGTTTTTTTTTTAGATTTTGCAAATCTCCCTCAACTGCTAGAGCATTGATTCTTTTTTTTTTATCAAAGAACCATTTATTAAGCTCTGTTTACAAATATGGGATCTTTTTTTGGGTCACTTGATTGAGAAAAGTTACTTTGTCACTTTTTTATTGCAGATTTTGGAACCGAATCGTTCCGCAAAAGTATTTTAAAATTAGTTTGTGGTATCTAGCTTATATTTTAGTTAAAATGGAGAGAAAAGGTAAATTAACATCCGACGAAAAACAAAAACTTTTTTTTTAAGAATTTTCGACAACTGGTATTTTTTTGTAAGCTTTTTTTTTTTAGAGTTAGCGCTTCCTTTTTTTTACACACCTCTAGTATCTTACGTCTGGTTGGAACTTTGCTATTTTTAAAAGATAAATAAAACAGCTAGAAGTTAAGACCAAACACTTAGTGATTTCAGCTTACCGTCTGGGAAATATAAAGCATTGAAATGCAAAATTGATGATTTTTGTGCGGTATTTTTTCCGAAATTTTGACTTTAAAAACTCATGAAAAGTCGAAAAAAATTATATCCTGTGATATTAGGTCGTCATTTAAGGTATTGCTCATTAAAATATTTGGAGAAACTTTGGAGCTAAAATTCGTTAACCAAACCTAAAAAATGAAGAAATTTTTTTTGAAAACTGTTATTTTTTTGTAAGCTTTTTTCAGAGGTAGCGCTTTTTTTTCACATATGTAACTCTGGTACCTTACGTCTGGTTGCAAAGAACTTTGCTATTTTAAAAAGATAATTAAAACAGCTCGAAGTTAAGCCCAAACTCTTTGTGATTTCTGCTTACCGTCTGGGAAATAAAAGACATTGAAATGCAAAAATTATAATTTTTGTGCGGTATTTTTTACGAAATTTTGACTTTAAAAACTCAGGAAAAGTGGAAAAAAATGATATCCTGTGTTCTCTATTTTTTTTTTGTGTATAAGTGCGTTAATTAAGCATCGTTAAAGGTATTGCTCATTAAAATCTATGAAGAAACTTTTGAACTAAAATTCATTAACCAAACATAAAAAATGAAAAATCTGAACAAAAAATATTTATTTTTGTTCATTTGTATGCTTTTTTCAAAGATAGCTCTTATTTTGTACATAACTGGTTGTTATGTTGTTATCTTATCTGGTTGTAATCAACTTAACAAGCGTTAAATGTGATTTAACTTCATTAACCAAACTTAAAAAATTAACAAAAAATATTTATTTTTATTCATTTGTATGCTGTTTTCAAAGATAGCTCTTATTTTTCACATAACTTACATCTGGTTTTAATGAACTTTAACAAGCGTTAAATGTGATTTTTGGAAAGTTTATCAACCAATTTTATCTCAGCCGTTTCTCCATAGATTTTAATGAAAAATTCTTTAAACGACGCCTAATGCACCCATAAAAGAAAATATAAGCACACTTTTGCATTTGAAAAGTTAATATTTCCCAGACCGTAAGCTGAAACCAAAAAGTGTACAGGTCCACTTTATAGCTGCGACTATTATATTTTAAGAATGGCAAAGTTCATTTCAACCAGATGTCAGAAACTTAAGTTATGTGAAAAAAAAAGCGCTATCTTAGAATAAGCATAAACAAAATAACACTTTTTTTTAATTCTTTAAAAGGAGTTCTGCCGTAGAATAAAAATCTCATCAAACAATTTCAAAGCTTTAAATCTATCAGAAAAAGTGGGCTTGGTACCCTTGAGGGTAGTGTAATCAAAAGCTTTAATCAAGTCCGCGGGAACAGATGGCATCATCCCCGGCCAACTGATCCATGCCATACACAGAGCATCCAACTGGCCCTCGGACATATCCCAGACACCTGTCTTCAAAACAAAGTCATAATTTTTCTCAGGACAGGCAAGTCTTGGCACAGAGCATCTTTTGTTAGCATACTTCCAACCGCCATTACTGGTGCACTGGTGGACCTCCGGCTGTGAGCCTGCCGTCAACGTCTACCAGGTCTAATAGAAGGGAACACAGCAGGGCAGAAAAATGCGGGATAGGTGTTAACCCATCTAAAATGGCACTTGTGCTCTTTACTAAGAAGTATAAGATTTTGACACTTGTTCCCACAAAAATTCTGCGGGGAAACGCAAGTTTTTAACAACAATGACCACAAGTATCTTGATCTGATCCTTGATAGAAAACTCGACTGGCAATTGAGTATAAAGGGGAGGGTTAAAGAGGCCACATTAGCCCTCTACAGAAAAGCAATCTGAACTTGGATATGACTCGGTAAATAGTCCACTGGCTACACATCGACATCATACGACCAATCATGCTCCACGGATTGGTACAAATTTTGTATGTTATGCTATGTAGGTTTCTGGCCTATGCCACTTTTAGCCCAATTGCATTAAAAAGAAAAGTATTTCCTGGGATAAACCTTCATATAACATTTTATTTTACGGCCACGATTGATAACGACTAACGATATACGAAAAATTTATTTCAGGAACAAATTTAACTTTACTCATGAAAATGTCTGTGATTTTCAACCGCGATCAGCGGATATCCCCATTTGTGATCTTATAATTTATGTGGAATTTTTAAATATTCTATTTGTTTACATTTTTTTGATACATCTGTTATCTACATCTCCTCTGCCAGGGTTCGCACAGAGTCGGCAGTGCTGAAAAGGGGTGGGTTAGCAACTGACGGACGGACGGACAGACAGATATGGCCATATCGACACGAATATTGATGCTGATTAAGAATATATACACTACTGGTCAAAATAATAAGTACAGAGGCATCGTGCTGATTTGTTATCAAAAATTTCGAATGTTTATGAATGCATGACTGCTATGACTGAAAATGGAAGACGGAAGAAGAAATCTCCACAAACAACGGACACCCGTATCGTCAGTCTTGCAAAAAAATTATACGTTCATGTTTTACAAGGCCGTTTCCGCCACAATTGGCAATGAGATATCATCTCAGTCCGTTCCTTGTAGGGGGCTGTCCATATATTACGTAATCACCTAGGGGGGGGGGGGGGGGGTCAAGGAAATGATTATGTTTGATTACATGGGGATGGGGGGGTCTTGGACAATGATTACGTTATCATTTTAAAGAGTTTTTTTTATTGAAAGTATTTATTCAAAAATTTATTTCGCGCTGATTATTCCGCCAGTAAGTACCAAATGCAACCAAATTGGTTTATATATATTTTTTTCTTGTGATTACGTAATCATGTGGGGGGGGGGGGGTTCCTTGAATGATTACTTTTGATTATAAGGGGGGGGGAGGGGGTCAAAAATCATCGAAAACGTGATTACGTAATATATGGACAGCCCCTAGACGTCAATATTCAGACTTACCAGGACGTATAGGCCGAAAAGTTCCCAAATACGGTTTTTACGCTGCCGCATCATTGTCGAAGCTGCGAAAAAATAATGTGAGGCTTTTAGACAATAAGGGGGGCCATAACAGATACTGGCGTAGGATTAAAAATAACACTACTCAAAAAATTGAACTTTGCGCTGTGGACCAAAATGAATTTTTCTGATAGATTTTGGAATTTAAAAATTTTTGTAGTACTTTACCCGTACTCAAAAAAGAGTTAAAGGGTATATTAGATTTGTGGCAAAAAAGGGCGTGTGCAACGCAGAGAAGGAAACGTTTCCGACTCCATCAAGAATACATATTCTTGATCAGCATCAATAGCCGAGTCGATAGAGCCATGTCTGTCTGTCCGTCCGTCCGTCTTGTTTGACGCCTGGATCTCAGAGACTATAAAAGCTAGATAAACCAAATTTGGTTCGAGACTTATGTGATATCACACTGCTACAAGTGTATTTCAAAATTTCGCCCCGCCCCCACAAAGGACGAAAATCTGTGGCAGGCACAATTTTAAAGATACGATAAAACTAACGCAGTATCGTAGAGAATGCCCATATCTACCAGATTGTCGAATCTGAATTAGATCGGATCATAATTATAGCCAGAATGAAGAAATTAATTTTCTGTTGGTTCTTCCGCCTACTTCAGCCAGAGACCCGCTACCTATCTCATTCTCGCTCGCACACTCTGCCGCGTTCAGTGCGCGAACAAACCGTAGCGGAGGAGATGTAGAATCTAAATGGTACATCTGTAATCTACATGTTAGATGTAGAATATACATAGTAGATGTAGATAACAGATGTAGCAAAAAAAATGTTAAATGTAACATTTTTTTTTTAATTATAAAATTCTTACAAATTTTAAGCTCAAAAGCGCAGCAGAGTGTGCGAGCGAGAAAGAGAATGAGTAGTGACTCTCTGGCAGGGGGAGGCGGAGGAAGCCACTGAAAATGAATTTCTTCATTCTGGCTATAATTATGATCCGATCTGATTCGGCAATCTGGTAGATATGGTCATTCTCTTCGATACTGCGTTTTTAGTTTTATCGTATCTTTAAAATTGTGCCTGCCACTGATTTTTGTCTTTGTATGGGCAGGGGGCGGGGCGAAATTTTGAAATACATTTGTAACAGTGTGATATCACATGAGTCTGGAAACCAAATTTGGTTACCCTAACTCTTGTAGTATCTGAGATCCAGACGCTCAACGAGACGGACAGACAGACAGACATGGCTATATCGACGCGGCTATTGATGCTGATCAAGAATATATATACTTTATGGGGTCGGAAACGTTTCCTTCTCTGCGTTACACACATCCACTTTTACCACAAATCTAATATACCCCTTAACTCTTTTTTGAGTACGGGTATAATAACAGATCTAAAGAAATTCTTTAAAAAAAAACTAAACCATAAAAAAAAATAATAAAAAATTCGTTAAAATTTTGTAAACCCTGAAATCTATAAGAAAAAGTCATTTTGGGCCACAGCGGAAATGTCGTGTTGACTAGTGTAATAAGAAAAAAGTAGGAATTGTGATACGCTTTGGGTTTTTGGCTACTTTTAAGCTTAGTTATATTTAAAATAAACTAGACTGAACTAAACTATTTAACTAAAATATAAGCTAGATACCACAAAATAATTTTACAATACTGTTGCGGACAGAGCTTAATAAATGGTTCTTTGATGAAAAAATAGAATCAATGCTCTAGCAGTTGAGGGAGATTTGCAAAATCAAAATGTGTAAAAAAAACCTTTGTTCTTATTCAAGTACCATATAAATACGAGGGCGGATCAATAAGTCCGAGACCTTTTGAATTTCTCGCCACTTAATTGATATGGCATTAATTTTTCTGTCAAAAGGTATCTATTTAAAATGAATTACATTTTAAATTTGAATAAGCTGCGCCAGTTTGTTTGTGTTTTACAGCCATTGATAGCTAGCTTCCTCGTGCTTTGAAGAAAAAATGAAAAGCCACGGAAACCAAGGAAAAGCTTGATACATACTATGGGATCTCTGCTCCATCGATTTCAATGGTAAAAATGTGGCTTACTGTATTTCGCTGTGCCCGTACAATCACAAACGATGTCGCATGTGTATGAAAAGGCAAGATGGCTGCCGCGTTTGCTCACAATCGAGACAATTGAGACAACTTCGAAGGAGTGCTGTTTAACCACAATAAATTGCTCTCCATTTCGCTGCAGAACTTATGTCACGAGGCGCGTTTGGCTTTCCTAAGTTCTTTGTTGTAAAATGACAGACTGATCTTATACTCTGTAAAGTTCAGTTCTGTTATAAGTGTATGGCTTTAGCTCTGTTGACGTTTACAAGACGAGCCGTAACCTCCCAATAAATCTCTTCGGAAGGGAGGGACTTTCAAAGAATATGTCCCATTTGATCTTAGTATCGGATCCAGTTTGTCCATCTAAGGTTCCGGAATTGAACTTGACTCGAAGACCTAGGGTCCGAAGATTGCTTTTCAAGGACGAACGTTTTTTGGAATGCTCGCTGTATTAACCACATTTATTACCTTCAGAATGGGTAAAACAGACATGTGCAGTTTCCAATACAAAAATCCATGAATTAGGCTTCGAATTGCTTTCTCACCCACCCTATTCTCTGGACTTAAGACTCAAGAGATGGCTCTAAAAAAATATATAGTATTTTGACGACATCGACAAATTCTATTTCTTCGAAGGGATACAAAAATTATAAATTCCGAAAAAAAGTATATAGAACTAAAAAAGATTATGTCAACAAATAATCAAGAAAAATTAAAAAAAAAAATGTATTCTTAGATAGGCCGTGTTCTTCGTTTTCTACTGGCTCAGATATGGTTACCAGTGCTATTCTTAAACATTGTGCTGATTCTCTTTGTATGACGCACTTAAAACAGTTTAACTTGTCTCTTGAGCTCGGTGATTTTTCCTCTGTCTGAAAAGAATTATATATATTTCCCATTCCAAAACTCTTTAAAAAAATGAGTACATCTCAGCTTCAACACTTTTTTAGTTCCCTGTACGGGAAAGATGGAAAATATTGTTTGACTGAATTAAATTTATATGCATCCAAAACAACATATAAATACAACATAAAGAATATAATTATTGTATTCATATTTTTTTAGATCAAATGCTATACAACGCAGTGTTGCCTATCATTCATCACCCGCTTCTGCGCCTAGCTGGCCGATAAAATCCGATCCAGCTCTGGACAATGCACGACGTGAAGCAGAGGAACGCGAGCGGGAGTCGCGGGAACGTGAACAGCGAGAGCGTGACCGACAGCGTCGCGAGCGTGAAGAGCGAGAGCGAAAAGAAAAAGAAGACAAACTAAAACGAGAGCAACTAGAAAGGGAGAGAGAACGAGAACGCGAACGTGACCGAAAAGAGCGTGAGCGAAGGGAAATGGAACGCCGAGAAATGGAACGGGAGCGAATGTTGCAGCAGCAGCGAATTAATGAGAGCAATAAGCAAGCTGCTGCAGCACAAGCTGCAGCTGCCGTGCCAGCCCCTGCACGAGATCGCTCTCCACATCGAAACGTAGGAGAACTTACCTCGGAGATACGTATTAAAGAAGAACATACGCGCACAAAAGAAGAACAGGATATTATGCTTATGCGTGCATCGGCAGCTGTCGCCGTTGTTGGAGATCCACGCTACCATCCGAACTCGTTGGCAGCTGTACAGGCAAATGCTGCTGCTGTGCATCACCATCATGCTAACTTTATAGTGGCTGGTCGACATGGATTACCGTCGCCATCATCGCATCTTTCTCGAACTATGATGCCACCCACCTTAAGTGTCGGCGGTCCAATCAGTCATTTTGCTACGCCGGGTCCTCCAGGATGGGGCATAGATCCGTACCGCGATCCTTATCCTATCCTGCGCTATAATCCCATAATGGAAGCAGCATTGCGGCATGAAGCAGAGGAACGTCAAAAAGCCATGAATATATATGCTGCGCAATCTGCTGCTCATTTGCGAGGTAAGGAGCCGAGTCCCATTCCACCTCCTTCAGTAGGTGCTTTGGGCCCTCCGTCGTCACATCACCGCTCACAAGCATCATCTTTAGCCGCCGTCGTCGCTCAAACCGATTCACAGCCTCCACTGCACAACCTACAACAGACACCACTGTCGCAACTGTCTACAGGTATAGTGGCCGGAAAGACCACCGGTCCATCGACACCAATAGTCATTCCTGTCCAACATATGATTTCAGTCGATTCATTGAGCCACGCAACAGTTAACACAAAAAAAGAATCAGATCACACTATGGGAATAGTAGTAAGTGCCGCGGGAGTTGGGCTTAGTACAGTACCAGCCGGTCTCATGGGAATATCTCCAACTTACCAACATAAAACATAGTAAAAAGACAATGTTTTGATACAGTTTAGGGCACTTTAACCCCCCTTAGAACGTTGACTGTACCCGCTCCTTCCTAATTTACCCAGAGTTATTTCAGCCTGAGGAATAATTTAGAAAAAAATCGCAATGCGTTTGTTAAGCAATCAACAAGAAGAGTGACACACAAAATATAATATTTTTCTTTTATTATTATTTGAAAACACAAAACAAGCTGTTTCAAATGTTTTTCCAATAGTGAATTTAAATAATAATAATAATAATTTAAAATGCATAACGAAGTATGGACTTCCAATTTCTTTAAACCTACACACTGAGCCTCATATTTCGAAACATGGTGTGCCCAACATAATTCTGGTCGCTTTGTTAAACAGCACTTAATCCGAACTTTACTCATTTACATATAACTGAAAACTAGTTTAAACTAGATATTTACGTTCGAAAATTTAGTTTTAGTGCATTTATATTATTTTTATAATGTGACATTAAGAATGGCCAAAAGAAATGTTGAGAATATCTTTTAATCTGATTGTACATATATATAAAAACGATAAAAGAAATAATATACTACACGTATTACCGCAGAATGAAACTGATACAATCCAAACTATAATGTATATGATATACATATGTAAGTATGTATGTATAACTGTGACAGCTTCAATCTCTTCTTGCATTATGTGTTTCAAGACATTACCACATATGCAATAAATGTAAAAATGAAAAAATCAATAATAGAATCATTGGTAACAAATAATATAAAGTTTTTCACTTGCCCATTGTGTTCCTGTTTGTTGTGGGTATTATACATACATTTTTTGTAACTCCAAAGATAACACGGAATTTAATAATTTTAATAACAAAGCGCTTGTGGGAGCACTTGAGACATTTGTAAATGGACACGAAAAAATATATATTGTATTTTGGTTTGTAATTTACGGTCTTGACATATATTCAGATAATCCATAAAAATATTTCTTATGGAACTCCGCTTTGGCTCGATTATATACATAGAACAGCTGAACCCGCCGCGACTTTGTCCACGTGCAATTTTTTTAATAAATGTAAAAATGTTTTGTAATGGATAATATGAATATGGATGGATATAACTTTTGATTTTGGCGGTTGCGGCGAATTGGTGCAAAATTATTTCTGATAGTTGGATTAGGTATTATTTTATATCGGGTTTTTCGTAAGAAGGGGTATTTTTAATTCCATACAAACAAAGGTTTTTAGATCGGTTCGACAAACAAATTATATATAAAAGCTTAGCTGTTTGGTCTAAGCGTTTAGTCGTCTATAAGTAAAACGAGAAGGAACGTGTGAGTCGTTTCTGGGGACACGACTCTACTTATACCCGTACTCAGTCAGTATATATGTACATACACTTTTGAGCTTATGATTTTTTAGAATTTTAGAAAAAAAAAAAAATTTTACATTTTACATTTTTTTGCTACATATGCTATCTACATCTACATATAAAATGTCTATTATACATCTAACATGTAGATTGTAGATGTTCCATTCATATTCTACATCTCCTCCGCTAGGGGTTTGTTCGCGCACTGAACGCGGCAGAGTGTGCGAGCGAGAAGGAAAATGGGTAGCGGTTCTCTGGCTGAAGGAGGGGGAGGAACCAACTGAAAATTAATTTCTTCTTTCTGGCTATAATTATGATCTGATTCAGATTCGGCAGTCTGGTAGATATGGTCATTCTCTACGATACTGCGTTTTTAGTTTTACCGTTTCTTTAAAATTGTGCCTGCCACAGATTTTCGTCCTTTGTGGGGGCGGAAGGGGGCGGGGCGAAATTTTGAAATACACTTGTAGCAGTGTGATATCACATGAGTCTGGAAACCAAATTTGGTTACCCTAACTCTTATAGTCTCTGAGATCCAGGCGCTCAACAAGACGGACGGACGGACGGACGGACAGACAGACATGTCTATATCGACTCGGCTATTGATGCTGATCAAGAATATATATACTTTATGGGGTCGGAAACGTTTCCTTCTCTGCGTTACACACATCCACTTTTACCACAAATCTAATATACCCCTTAACTCTTTTTTGAGTACGGGTATAAAAATATTCCTAACCGATTGAGTCAATCGTCGCGATCGAATTAAAAAGTTCCTATATTGATGCTAGCAGCAATAAAAACAAAATATTCGTTGATAGTATCTGTTGAATGAATGAATCTATAATTCACTTCCATTTAGAACATTTGTATTTTCCAAGAGCATAAGAAATTTATCCACATAGCAGTCGATCAATAGTAGGAAGTGTATTACACAAATGAAAATATAATAATATGGTGTGAAAAAAATATCAAAATGCACCAAAAATTTGCGAGTGGAAAATTCTAAATCTAGAATGCGCCCTTATACCGAGTGCTGAAATAATTGGTCTTTATCCACTAGTGTCAAATTTATTTATAAACATGCATATATTAAAGTCTCGTGTCACGATGTTTGTTGATGTTACTGAGACGAGTTGTAAATTCGAACTGTTTTATTCTCAAAACTTATGCACTATATATAGGAAACTCTAACATAATTAAACTAAGACCAACGCTAAGAAAAGAACAAATGTGCGGCACTAGTTCCCACGATCATCCTTGATAGTGATAAGTGTGTGTGAATCTGCGACAAGTGTGTCGACAGATTTGGGTTCGACGCGACCCATGTAGATGACTTAATGGTCGAACCGATCCTAGATTTAGATGTCCCTTTTCTCAAGTGGTCTCCTTTAAGTGGACTGTATTATTTATGGGGTGGCCTGTGTCGTTTCTGTTCATGTTTATGAACATCTTGCCCGCGATCCGCTAGAATTGAGATAGCTGCGGGTTTGTAGGCCTCGTTCAAGTGGACTGTATTTGTCTGCGGCGTGAACTGCTGTCGGTTCTGTTAATGTCTATGAACATCTTGCCCACGATCCGCTGGAGTTGAGATAGCTGCGGGTTTGTAGGCCTCGTTCAAGTGGACTGTATTTTGTGTTCGTTGTCTGCTGTTGGGTCCTGTTCATGTTTATGAACATCTTGCCCGCGATCTGCCAGTTTATGGCGACTGTCTTTGAATTTGACCTTCCGTACATACCGCATCAGTGTGAAGAATCCGTAGTACTTCATTTTGGGATAAAATCTGAGTTCTTTTAGCTTTTGCAGTTTATCCTTGGGTTTTTTCCAAAACTTCTTTTTAATCTTTTGAACCAGTTTCCACTTTTGAAGAGATGTTATGGCTACATCTTCCTTTGGAACTGGTATTAGCAATGTAGATTTGCTAATTTGAAAATTTCCTGGTGTCAAAACATCTGCCATTTATTTTTTGCTTGGTGTATAAAATGGACGATAGTTTTTTCCTTTTCCGTTATGATTTTGCACTGTTGTCGTTTCTTCTTGCTGATAGAGTATTCCTTCATTTGGGAGGTTTTCCACGATCTGAAGATTTTCGTTGCTGTCGAGCCAGTCGTGGCGCCCATTTAACTTCACCCAGTTTGGAAGTGGTTTGGTTTCTGTGAACGTGCATTGGTAAGCATCGTTCGGCTCCATCGTTGCTTTTTCCTCTGTTGCATTTTCTTCTCCGTCGTCTTCTTTAAAAAAGATATTTTCTTCTCTGTAGTCTTCCTTTTGGTTTGTAACGGTATCTTTTTCTCCTTTGAGTTTTTTATTTTCGTCGGTTGCTATCTTTTCGTCGGCTTTTTGTTCTTCGACTGCTTCTTTAACCGATGATTCTTCGATTTTCTCTTCCTCCTTTGCATCTAGATGACACGTCGGCATTTTTGTTTGATTGTCGTCTTTTTTCTGCTTCTGACCATAGTGATACGAAGTGTGTTGCCGGTGTTAGATTCCATATTGCATCGGCTTCTTAGAAATGCTTCTTTTGGCCCACATTCCTTGAAAGTTTCGCGTTTCTTCTCGATGAGGTCTTTTGTGTGATGCGATAAATGAAGCCCATGAAATAGCTCTGATATTTTAGAAAATCCACGATCTATCCTCGGGATATCGTGTCCAGTTATATCCTCAAAGGCTTTATCGTTTATATACTTATTAAGTTCGTCGTAATTCTATAACATATGAGTTGCGTTTTCGAGATATTTAGCTTTTTTCATTAAATAATGAAATATATTCCTTTCGAAATATTCCTCCTCTCCGAAACTATCGTTTAACAATTCCGAATGGTTTTTCTCGATGGCCTTTCTGATTCTTGCTAAATAGATCAGATTATTTTCCGTTCTGCTCAGAGAAAATGGTTTGCTTAATGAACTCTTTTGTAGCAGCATCAAGTTCGCTTCTAATTTATCCTGCTCCTCTAGCAATGTTTTCTGGATCGTGCCCATTTTAAAGGCTTGTTTTAAACCTTTAGTCCTAAGTGAACCGTTGGGGGTGTTTTTATTGTGATCGCCTAGTTGACCATATTGTGCCCCGACTCACAACTGATAAGTGTTCATTTAGGCTCAGGTGTTTGTGCGAATTTATATACTAGTCCCTTTTGGGAGGGATCAGAGTTTTAGTATCGACTTTGTTTTGGTTATTGATAACGACCTTGGCACTCAGTCCAAGATTTTACGCTATTCTATCGATTTGGCGCTATCTTCCTTGCTATATAAGTCAAGGTTTAATGCGATTCTGCCTCTTACCACGGAGGGGGATGACAGGGGCTCGATGCTTCCGATAGCTACCTTGCTATAAAAGTCAAGGTTTTATGCTGTCGTGTTTAGTTGCCACTAGCTACCTTGCTATAAAAGTCAAGGTTTTATGCTATTCTGTCTCTTACCACTGGTAGGGGATGACAGGGGCTCTGGTGCTGATATGTCTGAATTTCTTAGCGCGGGTGGGGGGAACTCAGAGGCTCGATGGACCAAGTTTTGATGCGACTTCTGTTCTCCAGACTATTCTGAATAATGAATCCGGATCGAAGGACCACAAATGGTGTTGTTGATGAGACGAGTTGTAGGTTAGGTTAGGTTAGGTTAAGGCGGCTGTCGGGATCGTCAGAAACCCGACACACCTAGGCCGGCTTCGGCCCGTTGTGATACCGCATAGGCCGTTCCCTCTTCCCTCGTGAGACACTATGTTATCCGTTGTCCCATCCGGATGCCCATATGAAGCCTGCGATCAGTCTGGGACTGATTGTAGACATGTCCGAAATGTCAATTAGGAAAGGTGCACCCAAGTATTGAAGTCTCCTTCTACTGAGAGCCGGACAGGAGCAGAACAGGTGTTCCACAGTCTCCTCCTCGTCCTCATCTCTACAGCTCCGACAGAAGTCGTTATAGGGGGCACCCAGCATGGGTGGCTATTAGCCAATGTCCCGTAAGGGAGCGTATGACTGAGCTGCACCTGCTCCTACTGCGTTTGCAAAGCTCATCGGTGCGCTTCCTAGTAATGTTAGGCCATGTTTGCCGAGTTATGCGACATAGTGGCACTGTTTGCCATCTGTCATTTATTAGTTTCTTAAAATGTTCTTTTATTTTGAGCTTGCAGGCCATTGGCATACGAATATCCTCCTTATCATGGAGAAGGGGGATTGTTGTACCAGCTCTGGCCAGCTCGTCTGCTATACAGTTGCCTTCAATGTCCTAGTGGCCCGGGACCCATATTAGGCTGATGACAAACTGATAAGCCATCTCATGGAGAGATTTGCGACAGTTTGCCATGGTAGCCGAGCTTGTTGTTATCGCATTCAGTGACTTGATCGCAGCTTGGCTATCACTATAGATATTTATATAAGTTGCCGTAGGGGCACGTTCCTGAAGGCAGCTCAAGGCTTCCCTGATCGCTATGACTTCCGCTTGGAAGACACTGCAGTGATCTGGGAGCCTAAAAGAGTGTCTTATATTCAGATGTTGGAGTAGATTCCTCCTCCGACTTTGTTGTCCAGCTTTGAGCCATCAGTAAAGATATGAATGGCTCCATCTGGGCCAGGTGGTCCCTCGAGCCAGTTGGTTCTGTGAGGGATGATTGTTACAAAAGGGTTAACTGTATACTCCCTCGGAACGCAGTAGTCCGTTCTTGTGGGGACGATTTTGTTTCC